AACATCACTCCATTTTGATCAAATTTGTTACCCAACCACATATTAGAAAAATGCTTTAATTTTAATTAAAATGTTATATAATTGAGATCAACAATGGAATAAAATTAACATATAAGTAATGACTATTAGCTATGAAATTTATGTTAAAATTGTCCTGGTATTTTCGGAATAAACGGTGGTCATTCTCTAAAAGTATAAATAACATGGGTTTTTCATTGGACAAATAGGGTGACCCCTCTGTATATAAAAACTTTTATTAAAACGTTAATTTGCATATGGTAGGAGTGTGTGGTTCGTATGGGACAACCAATACTACTGGGGTTTGTACTTGATTATTTTGCTGACCAAGATCTTATAAGATATGACCATGCTTGTATGGCGGCCGGTGGTGTATGTCTGTGCACCATATTATTTATCACATTTTACCACTCTACCTTGGTGCATTTTATGCAATTGGGAATGCGCGCCCGTAGCGCCTGCTGTACACTAATGTATAAAAAGGTTAGTTTATTTAAATTTTATTTATTATGTATTGTTATTTTAATTCATGTATTATCATGTTAAATTAGTCACTCAAACTGAACCGGCTATCAATGGGCAAGACTACTGTGGGGCAGATTATAAACTTAATGTCCAACGATGCAAGTCGATTTGATGAGGTAAAATATAAACACTTAATTATCTAAAGTTAGTTTAGTTAATTTAGTATTGTTTAAAGCGATTTGATTATTTAAAACTTTTTTGCCTTCATGGAATTAGTGGTTAGTTTGTATTAATAGATAATTTACATTGATTGTTGTGATATGTAATGTTTGTTACAAATTTTGTCAAATTGATACTAAAACAGTTGTCAAATCCAATTAATAAATTACTTTATGAAGATAATAAATATAAACACTATATATTATTTTTATTACAGTTTTCACTATTCGTGAGCTACTTTTTTATTGCGCCCATTCAGACGGGTATTACAATTTACATAATGTACACATATATGAATTGGCCCTGTTTTGTTTCTATGGTATTGATATTAGTGCTCATTGTATTTCAAATGTTCATGGGCAAATTGTTTTCAAAAGTTAGGTAAGAAATATACTTAACGCAAAAGTCTACATAATTTATATATAAGACATTACATAATAATTTATTATCTAGATTAATGACAGCTAAGCTCACTGACACTCGGCTCAGGCATATGGTTGAGATCATATCCGGTATGCGAGTCATTAAAATGTATTCTTGGGAACAGCCCTTCGCAGACCTCGTGGCTGAGGCACGAAAGTAAATGACCATGATAGAAGTTATATAAGTTAAATAATTAATTATCATAAAAATAATTTTTTCAATTAATTAGACGAGAAGTGTCATGTATACAACGATCATGCTTTCTAAAGGCGATCAATATGTCAATGTTCAGTATGGCTAATAAATTGATCTTGTTTGCCAGCTTTATCACCTTGGTACTCACCGGGGAAGTACTAACCGCTAAGGCTGTTTTTGTATCAATGATGTTGTTTAATTACTTGAGAGTCAATATGACCTGGTATTTTCCGCAATCAATTTCTCTGGGGGCCGAGTTATTGGTATCGTGTAATAGAATCCAGGTAATAATAATAAACATAATTACGGATAATGCTTAATTATTTGTTTATTGCAGAAATTTCTACAATTAGACGAAATCCAATTAAAAGTCATTCAAAATACAAATGTTTTAACAAAATGCGAAACAAATGGCAAACAATCGCCCGAAGTATCCATTAATAACATAATCGCCAAATGGAGTGATGTATAAAAATATATACAGTACTTTAGTTTTGTTAATAAATAGTGTGTTTAATTATATGCTATTCATATCAATAGGAAAGTCCGTTTCCAACCCTTCAGAATATTTCGGTACATTTAAGACCCGGCGACTTATTAGCTGTGATCGGACCCGTGGGGGCCGGAAAGGTATGCAAACTAGTCAATACATCAATACATCAATACAATAATATAATTAACACTCAAATAAAAAACAAGGATCACACAGCGATGCTATACGTTAACCACAATTCGGGTGATGCACAAAGAATAGATTAGCATTATCTACAGATTTAATACGAGTCCATAGGATTATCATTGCCTATATTATCCCTATGTCATAGACTTAGCATTGTCCATAGATTTATTATTGTCAGAGACTTAGCATTACCCATAGACTTATCATTGTCCATAGACTTAGCATTGTCCATAGGATTAGTATTACACGTAGACTTATCATTATCCCTATGCCATAGATTTAACATTATCCATAGACTTAGCATTACACATGTTATCCCAATGTCATAGACTTAGCATTACCCATGTTATTCCTATGCCATAGACTTAGCATTGTCCATAGATTTATTATTGTCAGAGACTTAGCATTACCCATAGA